ACTATGAAAATTATGGGGTCAGTTTGACTTCATCTTTTTCAAAACTAAAATTAAAAAAAAAAAAAAACGTCCTTTCGAAGCGGGCAACGGGATTTCAATTCCGATGACCGACAGCTTCTTATGGGCAAACCCCACACTAAAAATAGTGCCGACACTAAAGATAAATGCAAAGATTCTAAACTAACTAAATGTCTAAATGTAAAAGAGTTTAACTTATGTAAGGAATCTTTTCCCTTACAATAAGTTCATAATCAGTATATGAATCAAATGTTTAAAGGTTAAAAAGTAGTTTTGTGACAAATAGGAGCATACATATTCTTTACCCTCTCCTGAGTGCATAAAGAACATTGGCTAATCTAAAGTTAAGTTCCCAATTGATATAGTTATAATGGGTAGAATCTAGCCTCTCACTTCCAGATTACCTATTGTGCCCTTTCTATAGGACTAACCGGGTCTTAGGTTCCAAACTTTAGATCGAACTGGTTAAGATTCTAGCCTGTTACACTAGAAACACCAATTCTACGCCCATTAAAACTTATATCCCTGTTTATTTGCACTAACCAGTGGATTGAGTCCCCTCCCACCCTAAGGGTTAATGTGGTATTCACTAGGTAGATGAAATCATATCCCTATATAGTTGCAACAGATTTTAACATTACAAGTGACCAGTTTGCAATGTAAATGAAGAACCGATGAAAATACCATCACATTTTTTGGAATAAAGAAACTCTAAGCAATACAAATCCACAACATGAATAGTGCTTATTGCAAGGAGAAAGAAAATGAAATCTACTTACAACTCATGTGAATAACATAACAAAACATGATTTATATTAAAACTTAAATGTACAAAACAAACCTTAAACAAAAGTACAAATACTAATCTCAAACTCTTCCCCCAAACAATCCTTTGCAGATCCTTGATTGCCCTTTGCTCCAATAGAATCACACATGACTCACAAAAGTCCCACAATCACAAAGAATCACCACTCTCTCTCTATGGTGGCCGCCCACTCTAATGGTGGTCTAACCCACCCAAAAACTTCTCCGCCCACACCTTTTCATTTGAAAATTTTTTCTATACATAAAGCTCTAAAAATTACCAAGGGTCATTTCAGGTACCTTTTCAAAATTCATCCAAATTCAATGCATAAAATATTAATCATTTCTATTGCCTAAGAGACCATTTGTGGTGCCTAGGCGCTAGCCTTCCGAAACTACATGGCCTCAAGGCGCCAGGTCAAAATTTTCTCCTCTTTAGCTTCATTTGACTTATTTTGCTCCTTTTTTCTCTTAAATTGAATTTCTTGCACCTGAAATAAAAAACACACAAAATATTTTCATTAAAGAGCAATATCCTTACAAATGAGCCTAAAATGTACAAATAAAATAGGTAATTTTAAGCGTGTCAGATACACAGGGATTTTGGAAGAAGTTGCTCATGATATGGATGAGGATGATGATGAGAGTGAAGTAATTTTAGGTGCATCTTTGATGATGAGTTCCTGTGATGAAACTTATTAACAAAGATATGTAATTTTAGATTAGTGGTTGCTAGTACCACTTTTTATCTTTTACTTTTGTTATATTGAGGCATGGAACATTCTCTTTTCCAGTTTTTAGACAAAACAATTTATTATGTCTTTCATTACTGCATCATTTTTTTTCTATTTATGATTATTTTTCCTGCCAGTACTAATCTTATTAGTGTCATTCCTTTGTTTGCATATGGTCATAGGTGGTGCAGGTGGTCAGCCACCTCAGAGACTCTGTGTTCTGGGGACACTAAAGACTACCTACTATAGCTGGAAGAAAAGATCATCTACTTTTTCCACTGCTTCCACAAGTATTTCCATGCCTACTAATGGTGCACCTCTTGTGGCACCTGATTCGAAAATTGTTGTTGTCACTCCTCTTGCGATACCTGCTCCTGCACCAACTGTTGCCACCCCTCTTGTGACACCTGCTCCATCGCTGCTGCCCCATCGTCTATGGTGTCTATTGCTTCCACACCTACTTCCCAACCTGTTGTAGACACACCTCTTAAGATTGACCTGTCGACTCATGCCCTCCTTCCTTGAGGATGCATTTACTGCTAAAAGGAGACTCAGAAGTAATTTTTAACATTATATTATCTTTATTCTTCATGCTGTATTTTTTTTTTGAAAAGACTTTTTTATTAGTCTGCCACTGTGTTGTCTGAGTAGACTGTGTTGTCTGAGTAGGAGTTTTGGGCCTAAGCAGCAGGGAAGAAGAATTAGAGGGTTTATGGCATTGCAGCGAAGAGCATAACCTTTGACTTAAAGCTCTCCCGTGGTCCTGTACTGAGTTCCCCGATCTCCTCACAGTCATACTAGTTGACACTTGTTAGGCAGGTGACAACAATGAATAAAGAGATCTGTCAGTTGTGCTAGCATATGCTTGAAGGCTAACATAGGGTCAAGGACTCTAAAGAGCATGTGAAAAACTTTAGCAAATCGTCGGTCAAGCAGTCATTGACATCTTTAGAGGAGGAGGCGGCATAGGAGGAGTTTATTTTTATGTTTTCTTTTATTTTTAAGCATTAATTTGAACATTTTTGTGAAATTTTTTGTTAACTTTACTATTTTAATTTGTGACAATATCTTCTTTTTCATTAACGATATTTTTTTAGACCTTTGATCTATGATATAGCTGGATATAATGTGGTATGAGATGTATAATATTGCGTGCAAGTTGTGAAGATGAAATTGATCTTTTAAATTTTTTTTCTGTTATAGATTTGAGTCACACTTGTGTGTGTTTTGCATCAAAAAATGCTACGCTAAATTGTTAATTATGTTCTGTTGTTTATCAATATTATCTGCCTCAAATTCGATGGTAATCCTACAATATTCTTTTTCTTCCGATGTTTTCAGGCGCAAAAGTAGACACACATGTAGAGTAAACAAAATCTGAAGCTAATACGATGCAAAAATCAATGCAAATTATTTACATCAGAATATTTCAATGCAAAATTGAGGGAATTAACATTACTGACCCCGATTTATAGTAACAACTCATCATGGTTCTCCAAATTAATCATGTATTAGTAATACTTAATTATTTGAACCTCAAGATAAGTCAACAACCCAATTTATCTATTGATCATTTAAGCTTTCAAGTCTTTTATTTTCGATATTACTATATCTAAGGGTTCATTTGAAATTACCCAACCATTGTGGATAAAAGGACAAAGAATCTATTGATATTAAAGTACCGAATGGTAGTGACTTTTTATAGTTTCAAAATGATCAATGAAATTGATAGAACTAGTTTGGATATTTAGCCTACAAAAATCACTAACAAAGATAACGTGAACATTCAAACTAAATCTAAAATAAACACCAAGGTGAAAACTCTAATCCAGCCTACCCAAAACGATGCAGTAGAGCCAAAAATCTCGACTAATAAGTCAAGAAAGTTGCTCATCAATGCCATCATATTATAGAGTACTATAAATGTTAATCATGCTTGCGTTGAGATTGAGAAGGTAAAATTTTTTAAATGAGTGACTAAACATAGAGTTTCAAGTGAACAAGATTTAACAAGGTTGGATTTAACAAGGTAGAGGAAATGGTTGATGCAATGACCAATTTGCTTGTTTATCTTATTTGATGAAGTTACAAATAAGAAACACTAAGAAATTGATGGCTAGAAGTACAAAAATGTTTTAACATAATATTTTTAAATTTTTTTCATTAAGCTAATTATATGCAGTAATAAATTTTTTAAAATCATTTTATTTGACTTCGTATTGCTTTTTATAAGATAGCCTTAGATTCATTTTGCTGCTTTTTTTTAGTTGAGGTTATTGATGGTCAGTTTGGTCACTTTCCTTATATGAGAAAAAAAATTAGAAGATCATAAGGGAGATTGCTAGGTATCGACGACTCACAGATGTAGAAGTCGTTGTTCATTGGATAACAATAGATTGTTAACAAAAGAGGGCAAACAACAAAAATCATGTGAAACCATTAGGTAGTCGGCTCAGTCATTCTCTTCTGAAGAGGGAACCAAGCTATTATAAAGGTTCGGATGAGATGTTCCACAATACTCTTCGAAAGGCACTGGATGGAATTAATTGTAAACATCAAAAGTATGGCAATGTCAAGTCGTATGACTAGTCAGTCTCCATATAGTAAGAAATGCCCATTAATTGTGAAGGCTTACACAAAATGTTAGAAACTTGCAAGCATCAACTGTAAATAATGGATGGGCTTATTTTACGTATTGACATTGATTATCATCAAAATTGATTGATGGACATTGTTTTACTGACAAATTTTATGTTTGTTGGTGTTAGTAGATGACAAAAGTTGGGTGGTAATGAGTAAGGTTCTAAAATTGTATACATTAAGAATTCTTGCAACCATATTCATCCACTTAAATATAAAAACTTATGTCTTTTATACCTTGAATTGAAGCACTGCAAACATCACATTCATTAGGATATATTTTAATCAACTTACAAACCTTCAGTTATCAAGTTTATCTCTTCGTGATACTTCTTTCAACTGTAAGTGTCAAAATTTTGGAGAACAATTCGCTCCTAAAATAACTTCATGTCTGTTTAAATTATTCTTCTAAGTGAAACATCCAAGACATTTTGGAATGAGCGGAAAATTTTTCATTATTGTTTTATTATTCTGAACCATGTAGTCTCCTGACTATAGATTTACTAACCATAAAACACATATGCTCTCAAAAAAATGTATTATTTTTATAATCCAAAGATTCAATGCTTTAAGATCTTTATAGTTTCATCAAAATTCATTTGATGGTGTTTTTTTTTTCATCAAATATGAGTATGTTTGTTGTTACATAGATTATTCATGAACAAATAGCCACCCGATTTGTTTCCGAAAGCTTTCTTAGTAAAAATTGTTAACAGATCAGTCAGCGGAATTCATCAACTTAACAAACAAAAAAACGACCCGCAACTTTAATGTCATGGAAGGTCTTCAAACTTGGTTTGATGGAATTCCAGCCCCACCACCACAAAATATTCAGCAATGAATTATTGATTATTTGAGTAGAGGAAGACCTTGGCTGGACTCTTCACCTCATCTAGAAATTAGAATCGAACAACCTCGTCAGAATTGTTGCCAGTATGAGCAGTCCCACTTCCCTGGCTTTCCTCCTCCTCGTTCTCCTATCCTTGTTCGCCTCTCCGGCAACAGCATACCTACTCTACAATGTCTGCGGCAGCACAGGAAACTTCTCCACTTACAGTACCTACAGCTCCAACCTCAACGTCCTTCTTTCCACCCTTTCCTCCAACGCCTCTGCCACAGGCTTCGCCACTTTCACAACAGGCAGCATTCCCGATAGCGTTACCGGCCTTATCCTCTGCCGTGGTGACACCGATATCTTCAACTGTCGCTCCTGCATCCACACCGCCATAAAAGAGATCCGGCAGTTCTGCCCAAACCAGAAGGACGCCAGCATATGGTATGATTTATGCCTACTCCGCTACTCCAGCCAAAACTTCCTCTACGCTCCCGACATCACCTCAAACATCAAGGTTTTCATGTTTAACACTCAAACTGTCTCGGCCGAGCAACTGTCGCCTACAAACGGGTCTTCCACGGCAAATACTACCCGGCCTACGGCAGATTCATCTCATGGAGGTAATACAGCTCCAGAGATTATATGATTGGGAAGAAATTTTATCTATTTTAAAATGCTATATTTCTTAAATGATTTTAAATAAATAATTATTTTTTAGCACTCTAGGCCCCGTATTCTCTATACTTGGATGTTTGTCTTACAATCTTTCCCATTTATACTAGTTTAGTTTCAGATTTTTAAGTAAATAAAATGTCACTGTACTTTCATTTACTTATTATTAAGGACCAAATAGAAAAAATTTCAAATTATGAAACAAAAAAAGAAAAAAAAGTAATGACATAGATAGATGGATTTAAAAACTCTCAAGAGTCATACAGTATGAGTAGGACCCGTGGGCATTGATAATTATAACAAAATTTGACTATTCTTCGTAGCCTTTACTTGAATCAATATATTATGGAGTGGTTAGCCTATGTGAGTTATGCTCTACAATTCTTTCTAATTGTTTTAATTAAGCTAATTGTTCTGGTATGACTATTTTTTTTTTTAATTTTCTTTTGAAGGCCACGCCCCGAAGAAACGAGTTTATGTTCTCTCTTCCAGTAGAGTAAAGTTCACCTGTGGTTTCGTGACGATACTTGCATAGTTTATTCTTTCATTGTTTCAACATAGTACTTCTTGGCTTTATTTACTTATTGTAAAGCATTCTGGTAAATGTAAAAGACTACTTCCTACTCCGATTTGCATCATAGCCCCACCTAAATGCCTAAAAAAGTCTATAATGCTCTAACGTTTCAATTATATCCTAAAAACATGTTTTGCTGTGCTGAATTTTAGTTGGCTTGCTCCGTTTGGAGTTCAGTGGTTGAGGAAATTTCTTCCTCTTTGCTAGAGACTTACGTTTCAGCATATCAGCTAATATTCTAAAAACTAATTTTTGAACTTATTTAGTTACTGTAAAATAAAAATCAGTTTAGAAAACATTTAGTGTAATATACAATCATATAGGATTAGTAATCTATCTCTACCTTTTTCACTTTTTCGCATTCACCTCAAACATCAAATTTTTCTTACAGTTATAGATGAGACAATGCAAAGCAAATTAAAGTGATTTACATACATACCATACAATTCTAATATATTTATATTGACCTCAGCATAACTAAAAATCAGCCAATTGACCCCCAAAAGAATTAGACAACTGTAGTCTCAATGCCACAACTCCACTTTGACCACTTCGGGCAGTTTACTCTCTACCCATTCATTCCTAATTCTTTCTATAAAAACTCAAAATAAGTATAATTAATCATTGGAACGGGTACTTTGGTTACAATTTTCTTGTACCATAATCGCTTGTTTTGCTATATATTTTCTAACCTTGTTTCAATTAATAAATTTAACATCATAATGCAGGAAGCAGTAAAGTGGGCACTGTTGTGGCAATCACAGTTCCTGTAGTAGTTGCAATTGTTCTAATTTCCACAATTAGCATCTGGTTGTGTCGAAGAAAACCAAGGAGAAAGCAACCCGGTAAGATTTCCCTGGCGCTAATGTTCAGGTTTATGTATTTTAGAAATTTACTATAACAAAATGAAAATGAAAGTAACTTAAAACTATAAACCAAAGAAAAGAAAAGAAGATGCGAGGGGATTGTGAGAGCAGCATCAAGAAGAAGATAAAAAAAGAGAAGAAGAAAATATTATTTCACTACACCGCACAGTATAGATACATCAAAGTATTTATATTAGAGAACAGGAAATATATACTGTGGTAAAATTATGCAGAGAGCTATTGGGGTTATTCTGGACCCCATATCTTGAGAATGGAAATCATCTTTATTATGCCCCATCAAACTAACATTGTCTGCAGTAGATAATGTTAGTTTGTGTCTAAGCTTGTGGAACCATGAGGTTGAAAGCGCTTTGGTGAATATATCAGTTGTTTGTTCTTCAGAAGGTAGATATGATAAAATAATTTTATTCAACTTCATCTAATCCAGGATAAAATGATAGTCTATCTCTGTATGTTTTGTGCGGGTGTGGAATACAGGATTGTGAACAATTGTCATGGCAAACATATTATCACAATAAATGGTTGTGAGATCATGACGAATTATAGAAAAGTCTTGGAAAAGCAATCCCAACCAGATAACTCGGTGGCTACAGATGCTATAGCTCTGCATTCTGCTTCGGTTGATGATCTTACAACAGTTGGTTGATCTTGACATGTCATGATAGTAAATTTGGTCTGAGGAATGTAAAAATGTCTGTAATTGATTTCCCGTCAGTTGGATCACTAGCCTAGCTGGCATCGGCATAAGTTTGAAGTAATAGGGGGCCAATTTGAAAAGGTATACCAAGTTGTAATTTTCCTTTAATGAATTGGAGAAGACGTTTGAGATTTTGTTAGTTGAGTTGAAGAGGTTTTTGAAGATGTTGAGAAAGGGTATTTACAACAAATGCAATGTCCGTTCGGGTTAAGTTTAGATATTGTTGCAATCCAACTAAATGCTTGTAAAGATGTGGATTGGTTTAAGCTTCTTGAGATTCAATGCTTGTTATGGTATGACTCATATACCATATCGGGACAGATGCTGGATCGAAGCGGAGCGGAGCGGAGCGGAGCGGAAGAATCTGTCCAAATTAGGAAGTTACGTGGGTTGGGGTGCGGGGGCAAAGCCCCGCGGTTTGGTACAGGGTTAATGTTGTAATTACATATTGTGCCTAAGGTTTACTCCTGGGGTCATAAATAGGCCTGTTAGTAACCCCAGGAGGTATCCCTGATTTCTGTAACCTCTTTTCTGAATATTGGAAGGAACTCGCCGCTCTGCTCCCGAGGATGTAGACATCTTTGCCGAACCTCGTTAAATCTCTGTGTTCTTCTGGATTTGTGTCGATTACTGTTTTTCTTCGCCCTAATTTTCTCGTGGTATCAGAGAAAAGGTAGAGGGGAAGAAAAATTTTTATCCTCGCGCCGTTCTGCATAAGGAACTAGTTTGCAGCAGCGGCAGGAGAGGCTCTAGATCGCGGCGCGGCTCAGGGAAGCGGACTGCGGGGTCGAAGGCGGACGGGCCACGACGCGGAGGCTCCCGGTGCACAAACAGGAACCAGCGATCCTTCCCCCTCAATCAGGCGGCTTCGGCGGCGGAAGGAGTTCGCAGCAGGTTGAATTGCGACAGAGGCGGAGGCCTGCTTTCGGCGTTGCAGCAGGAAGGGAAGGGAAAGGAGCGGAGGCTACCAGAGGAATATTCTATTCCATTTTTTGCTCCAGAATATTCCATTTTTGGCTCCGCTGCTGCAAAGGAGCAATTGGAAAGGAATCAATATTCTCTTGCAGGGAGGCGCTTAAAGGAAAGCTTGCCTTTTTTTTTTTGGCTCCGCTGCTGCAAAGGAGCAATTGGAAAGGAATCAGGAGGGAATATTAGAGGAATATTCCCTCAGTAGAAGGAAGTTGGGTCCGATTTCAGGAAAGCTGGAAAGAAATTGGAAGGCTCTGTTTGAATTCATTCCTTTTTTGCGGAGAGGAAATAAATGAAATATTTATTTCTTTTCTTGGAGGCGGAGAGAAAATTTTTTTTTTTGCTCAAAGATTTCAATTTTTTTTTTCTTTCTTTTTTTTTCTCAAAAAAAATAAAGGGTTCTAAAGATTTTTGCAAAAGAATTTTTTGCAGAAAGTTTTGTTGCAGGAATAATTTTCAGACGACATTTTCTGGTGCGAAATTTGTAGGCGGTGAAGTTTGACGGAACTGATAACTTCGTATTGTGGCAAACCAGGGTGAAAAATCTGTTGGCGCAACAGGGAATCTTGCTATTCCATTTTTTGCTCCAGAATATTCCATTTTTGGCTCCGCTGCTGCAAAGGAGCAATTGGAAAGGAATCAGGAGGGAATATTAGAGGAACGCTTAAAGGAAAGCTTGCCTTTTTTTTTTCTTTTTAATTAAGCTGGAAAGAAATTGGAAGGCTCTGTTTGAATTCATTCCTTTTTTGCGGAGAGGAAATAAATGAAATATTTATTTCTTTTCTTGGAGGCGGAGAGAAAATTTTTTTTTTTGCTCAAAGATTTCAATTTTTTTTTTCTTTCTTTTTTTTTCTCAAAAAAAATAAAGGGTTCTAAAGATTTTTGCAAAAGAATTTTTTGCAGAAAGTTTTGTTGCAGGAATAATTTTCAGACGACATTTTCTGGTGCGAAATTTGTAGGCGGTGAAGTTTGACGGAACTGATAACTTCGTATTGTGGCAAACCAGGGTGAAAAATCTGTTGGCGCAACAGGGAATCTTGAAAGCTCTGCGAGCAACAAAACCAGATGTCATGGAGGATGAAGATTGGAAAGAATTGCAACAGCGAACGGCAACGACGATACGTCTATGTCTGACAGACGAGACTATGTATCACGTGATGAATCTGAAATCTACAGGAGAAATATGAAAGAAATTGAAAACTCGGTTTATGACTAAATCTCTGACGAATAAATTATATCTGAAGCAAAAGTTGTATGGGCT